CGCCATGAAGTCATAGGGAATAGGTTCCAACAACTCGGGTTCCTTCCCATTGGTCCTGACAAAGTGTGCTTCTCTGGGAGGGGCAGGCCGGCATTTATTTCAACTGAACCCAGGTTATCTTTCTCTTTGGCTTCCTTCTTTTTCTGATCATTTTCCTTGACACGTTTCAGGAAGCTATCACGACTTTCTGAGTGTTTAATATGCTCACTACACACATTAATCTTCTTGGCAAGTATCTTGCCTTTAACTTGCTTGCTTACAACAATGCCAACAGCATGCTGGGTAACGTTGTAGACTCCTCTCGTTTTGCCATGGTAACAGTACTCATTCCCTTGATGTCTACACTATCACCCTTTTTGTAGATTCGCATGTATGTAGCCAAAGGAACAACCCCATATTTTCTAAAAGGCCTGGAAAACATATACCGGGTTCCCCTCCTCTTGCCGTTTGTGTTAGTCATTTTGGCAAATTACTGGAAGATGGTGGTTCCAGCCGAAAAAAAGCTCTCTCATTTTTAAGAATGAGACCATCTGAAGCAGAAAGCAATCCTTCCTTCCCTATACCACAATGTGCTGCGACTGTTCCCCAATGACATGCAGGTCCCCAGAGGACACCAAGGGAATGTCCTGTAGTTCATAATTTATCTTAGTTCTGACATCATCTACTTGGAGATAGCAACACATCTCCCACTGCCCCCTCGTGGCACTGAGGGGCCAATCTCAGCACAGGCAGTCACAGAGAGTTCTGACCAAACAGTTGTACTGTAGATCTGGGGTTCCAGTGACCCCCTCCTGGGGTTAGATTAACTTACTAGACCAGCCTGTAGAGCTCAGGGAAATGCACTCACCAGTTTACTCAGAGGGCTATTCACCAAGGACTCCCATGCACCCCTCCTTGGAGAACTATGCCAGGCAGGTGTGGGGTAGGGCTGCAAACCCACCCTCCGTGCCTCCTCCCAGTGCCTCCAAGGTCCTGTCACCTCCAAGGTCTTGTCTCACAGTCTTTGAGCTCCCCAGGCCTGGCCTCTGGGGCTTTTAAGTCTCCTGCAGGCCCATACACCTTGGCTGGATGCCCAGGGTGGTTTTCCTCAGAGGTGTGAGACCTTGGAAGGCTAGGGCTCAGAAGAGGACCTAGGCCCTAGGGAATATGTTCCAAAGGGAGGTTAGAGGACTCTTGCCTTTTATGTTTCTATTTTTTCATTTAATTTTTTGCTTTCTTGGCTGTGTTCTGAGTGTGCTTTTTCTTTACCACACATGCCTACCATGCTGTGCTGCCTCAAAACAGGCCCCAAACAACAGGGCAAAACAGTTCTGGGCTGGGACCTCTAACGCTGTGGAACAAAACTAACCTGTTCTCTTTCCAAGGTGACAGTAGGCTGGGCTGAGGGTTCAACCTATAAATCATTATTTTTTATTCTTTTTTTTTTTTTTTTTGAGACAGGGTCTTGCTATGTACTTCAAGTGGGATGAACTCACTAGATAGCCCAAGCTGGCCTCAAAATCACAGCAATCCTTCTGCCTCAGGCTTCTGAGTGCTGGGATTACAGGTGAGCACCACCCTGCCTGGCAGCTGAGGGCCTTACCGTGACCAGTGCCCACTGGGAAGCCACCTAGGGGCCCCTAGCTGCCTGCAAACAATACCCTGCACAGAATCTACGGCTGTTAAGGACCTGTGTGCCAGGAACCAGGACCAGGGACCAGAACATATTTGTTCTATCACAGTATCACAGATCATCTCCTAAAGCTGTCAGAGGACAATGTGAAGAAAGCAACTTTCTGGTGCATAACAGACATAACGCTCACACCTGTCTGCTTTCCTATCAAGACACTCAATGGAGAAAACCTGAGAGAAGATAGTTTTTCAATAATGAAGTCAACAGGGTGAACTGCAAGGAAAGAAGGAAGGAAGTGATGACAATGACAAAATTAGAGTGCTACAGAGAGGTACAATTTGTAAGTAGTAAGGGAATGGCACTTAAGCTGGTGGAAATATCCAAAAGGCAGTTGAGGTAAGAAAAATTAAATAAAAATAAAAATTCATAAGCTACAAAAATTCAAATAAAATTAATTGACACTCAAATGAGGCACCCAAGGAGCCGTGAATAATAAGTAGCCCTGCCTTCTAAAAGCTCAGACATCAGTCAGAAAAATTAGACATTTACATACAAATGCTGCCTCCTATAATCTAAGAAGTTCCCTGAAGGAAGCAAATAAAATTTGGTGACAGTTCATGTAAGGATTTGCTTCTAATTTTACTTGGAACATGGGGAGATGGGATACAGATAAGTTCATACAAAGGACAACATTAGAGTCAGGTCTTGAACGTGGGGAAGCCAGGAACAAATGCTGCACGGAGCAAGGAAGGGTATTTCTGGCTGGAGGCGGGGAAGGCATGTGCATGTCATCGTGAAATGAGGCAGGTAAACGGTGGTGGCCACGAGTGCGGAGGATCTTGTTACCATGCAATACGTAAGGGACGGAAGGAAGAATAGAAAGGGAAAGAAAACATTAAAGTCTGAGCTTTCAGGACATGTTCTTAGGGCCGCAGAAACATACTGTTCAAGGAAGAAAACCAAAAACCAAAAAACCCCGAGCCTAGTGATTTTAAAAGAACACGAAGGCAAGATGACACATTCTTTCAACAACAACAACAAAAAAAAAACCACCACAATACACATAGTCTCTCATTTACCTCTATAGCTATTTCTGAACAAGTCTCTATGTAGAGTTCCTAGATAATTCTGAAGAGCTTTTCAATGGAAGATTTAAAAATATTATCATAAAAGGTGAATACCATTCATATGGTACTCAGGGGAAGATGTTTAAAATAATTGCGGAGGGTTTATCCGAGTTTTTTTCTTCTCAGATTGGCAGTTTTACTATATTCAGAGTATTATCTATTCCAAAGCAAGTAAAACCAAATTTAGAAAGTTATTAGGTATCTAAAAAAGAGGAATTTTAAATTTAATCACATCTATTATCTATCTATGCATAATGAAGCATAAATAAGCAAGAATCATGAGTTTTATATTGATATTATTCTACAATGCTGCCTATACAATGTTGTAGACAGTAATGGTGAAAGTATTATTCTTTTTTGACAGTATTATTCTTATTAAGATATTCAAATTTTATGAAATCTTTAGAAGTTAAATAAAATAATTTTCCAGGTATGACCAATACACTTGAAAGTCTTACTCTTAGGGGCCCGGGAGATGGCTCAGTAGAATAAGCGCTTCCCTGGCAAGTACAAGGGTCTGAGTTCAATCCCCGGTTCCGCAAAAAAAAAAAAAAAAAAAAAAAAAAAAAAAAAACCCAAAACTACCTTTGGGGCTGGAGATGGCTCAGTGGTCTAAAGCACCTACTTAGAACAAGCTTAGCAAGCACAGGGACCGCGGTTCGATCCCCCAGCACCACATGCCAGCCCCGCCCCCTGGTGGGCTGAGCTGGCCACACACACCACACACTCTCTCTGTCTCTCTGTCTCTCTCTCTCTCTCTCTCTCTCTCTCTCAAATAAATAAAAAAAAAAAAAAAAGAAAGTCTTACTCTCTTTCAGTCTTTCTTAGCTCTCTTCACATATATTCAGCATTTCACTAAAATGTTTATAAAGTAAAATTAAAACCGCTGCCTAAATTAAAGGACAGACGGGTAACCATATATTTAATGACAGCAGTTACTCGGACTATGTTAAAGATAACGACAATAGAGAATTCTAAAATGATTTCAGAGAACCGTTCTGCCTAAGATATCATCTGGTTGGGGCTGGAGACACAGCCCATCGGCCTGCCTGGCAAGTGCAAGGTCCTGAGTTTGATTTCCAGCATCAAAAAAAATCTTGTTTTTCTTCAGTGAATAGTCAATGATACAGAATTTAAGAAAGCTCTCCTGGCAAGGAACTGCACAAATGTGTGTACGTATACTCCCACCTCAACACCTGTGCACCTGACTGCTCCACCCAAAGCCACAGTCCCCCAGCCACTTTGTCACTCAACAGGAAAAGGAAAAGAAACTAATGCACTCACAGGTGGCTTTTTTCCAAAATGTAAGGAAAGGGGGAGGCAAGGCAGGGCTAGCTGTTTTGATCATAATATGTACTTCATATTATAGGTTGGTGCAACATGTTCTAAACGTCATACAAACAAGCACCACTTTACCTCTATTATGTCTTTATGTCATTAACCCAAGTGTAGGTACACATAATTTAGTAAATTTGTTTTAACACCAGTATTACCATGCTTACTGAGTAAAATCTTACATCGTTATTGCAGTTAGACTATTGCATATTAGACTATTTTGGCCCATTCATATATATTCTGGTTTATTTCATTTAACTAGCCTCTAATATAGCTAGAAATAATTTTTCTAATACAGTCATAGAAAATTCTTTTAATACAGTCATAGAAAATACATGCGTATGTAAAGCTTTTTAAAACTATTGTTTACTAAGAATCACACTTTTATTTATTTATGTATTGCGGTAACAGGGATTGAACTCACAAACTTGTGCTTGCTAGGCAGGCACTTATTCCACTGAGCTACCTCTCCAGCCCAAGAATCACATTTTTAAAAGTCTTTCATTGCTAATGGCTATTCCTTCATACTTAGAAATACAGCTGTTGTTTAGAATACTTTTTTTTTTTTTCCCAGTACTGGAGATGGAACTTGGGACCTTGAGCTTGCCAGGCAGGCACTTATGCCGCTGAGCTATCTCTCGCCCCCAGAATACTTTTTAAAAAGCAACATAAGCCAGGTGTGGTAGAGCACGCCTGTAATCCCAGCACTTGGGAGGCTGAGGCAGGAAGCTGAGCACCCTCAAGTTTGAGGCCAGCCTGGGTTACAGAATAAGTCCAAGAGCAGCCTGAACTGCAGAGTCAGACACCCTGTCTCAAGACAAACAAACCAATCCCCCACAACAACATAAGCTTTACATTAAACTATGGTACATAGGCGAAGGATTTGAAATTATATTTTCAAGCGCAAAATTAAGAAATATACTTACCTTTGATTCGAGGTAGACATTTGCTGATGACATTTTTGTAATTTTGCATATGTAACTAACTAAAGAGATGGCACAAAGAATAAACAAGCTGTCATTAATTAATGCTCGAATAAACACAGTCCATTTCAATTGATTTTCTGGAACATCTCCATGGACCAGCATTGCACAAGTCAAGTTCACCACTAGAAAGAGAAGGCTTGCCAGGATAAAGCCCAAATGCAGTAGAATTCTGAAAGAAAACAGGAGTGTGTTAGCCATTATAAAACTAATTAGACTTCAATGTATTATTTTAGGCACAAGAATTTCTTCAGTTTAAAATGTTTATTACTTCATTAAATACAAATTTAATAATCTCTTAGTTACTTGCAATAATTGTGCTGCTAAGAAATTAGTATCTAATCCATTTTAAAATGCTATAGATTTTAAAGCATTAATTTAAGAAATGATCTCTTATGAATTTGAACTTATTTGCCTCTACCAGGAAGACAATATAGTACTATTTAACATTACTTCAAGCAACTTTGTAGCTTTTATCTGTATCACTACTAAATACATTTTCATTGGCCTTTGCATTCTGATATTTACCAGATTTTTAAAATTTGCTTAGAAAATTAATGTGATGTATCTAAATTTTTTTTTCCTTTTTTTGCAGTACAGGAGATCAAACTCAGGACCTTGTGCTTGCAAGGCAGGTGCTTATGCCACTGAGCTAGCTCCCTGGCCCTGTATCTAAATTTAAATTTATCATCTAGTAGTAGTTTTGAGAGGTAAGGGACATTCTTTTAAACAATATTGAATCCCATGAACATCTGCTTATAGTAAAGCTGACTACATAGGAAGTTGATGAAAGAAGTCAAACTTGACTAGGACAAACAGAAGGCTAGGACATATATAGTTTGAAGCATTCGTCAATGCTTCATCTTCCTATAAAGGTATATATTTACTGTGCATGCAAAACACTCGAAAAATTAGCACCTCACCAAAAACATTTCAGTTAGGTGTGGCTGTCCACATCAACTGTCAGTAACAGCGTCACACAGGGCAGTGACCCATGGAAGCACGTTTATATCCTCAGATTAAGCACATATGGTCCAGCAATTTATTTTACAATCCAAAAATCTTCTTTTTCTCTTTTCCTTCTCCTCCTCCTCTTTCTCCTCTTCCTTTTTTTTTTTTTTTTTTTTTTTTTAGAAAGGTTCTTATTTTGTATTGCAGACTGGCCTTGAACTCATTATGTAGCCCATGCTGGCACTGAATTCACAGGGAACCCCCTCCTCAGCCCCCAAGTGCTGGGGTTACAGGTGTGCCCACCACCCCCAGCAACAATTCTTTTCTTCTGCCATGAACAGTGTATTGTTAAAAGGCCTTATGTCTTTTAGATAATAAGCATTAATACTAACGAGTTAATCTCTTTGATCTTTTAGGCAGAAATTTATTTAGAGACTTGAGAAACTTACTTGTGTTTGTCAAGTTCAGTGGCACATCTGACTTTACATATAACCTAGAAAGAGAGTAAAAAAAGCTTTGAAATCATGTATAATATGATAGTCTCCAATTTGTTCTGACTTTGTGTTTCAAAGCAATACAATAATAGTGGAAAAAAGTTCAGATATTAAGTCAAATTGCTAAAAAGCAAAAACAGACAAGTTTCCAAAGGCTGAAAACAGTGAATAGCTTTCTTTCTTAGTCTTAAACAAAAATTTCTACCTTAAAAAAAATGGAAAGTTAATTCAGTTTAAATGCTCATTGAACTTTTATTGTGAGGCAGACTTTGTGCTGGTGGCCACCTACCCTAAACTTTGTTCTATTACTTTTGTTTTGCCCTAAAATAGAACTTTTTACTAAAGTATGAATGTGACTGAGTGTTCACTAAGATTTTTCCCCTTTCTGGTGAGATGAATAACAGAAAACAAGGAATCGAAAGTAAACACAAAGATACTGAGCACAGAGCTTACTTAGCAAACTTCCTTCTTTTACAAAGTCTTGCAAATGCGTGGTGCTAAAGTTAGGCAGGTAGGCAAGCAAATCTGATGGAAACGTGGTATATTCTGAGAGCATAATGTAACAGCATAAGAGGCCTCAAGTTTCTAGACAGCTGTTCCAAAGTATGGGATTTTCCTGATCCGGCATGACTGTACACGCACTACAAAGAACAATGGAATAGAAGTGGGAAGGCCAGGTATAGGAGTACTTCACTTTGGTGCCTTAGAAAGAGGAAAGTAAAAAGTTATGCACAAAGGTAGCGCAGGCATTCAGGGATTCATTCAAACACTTCCTGCTCCCTATGAACATCTTACTCTCTACCAAAGGTAGTATGAACCTTGCATCCACAAACATGACCACAGGTTCTGCTCTCAAGGAACTTGTACGGGACAAAGAGGTAAGCCACTGATTTTGGCCCAGTGTGACATAAGAGCAAAGATGCTGTCACAAGATCTAGGAAGGGAGAGATACTACTTTATCCAGGAAGGGATAAGAGGTAAAGGTTAAGAGGAAAAGCTGTAGAGTCAGGAGGACTCCTGGTTGCAGTGGCAACCCCCATTCATTTTCAGTCTCTTCATATTATTCTAGGTACCTCGTATAAGTGGCCTCCTACAGTATTTGTCCCTTTATGACTGACCTGTTTCAGTTAACATAAACGTCTTTAGAGTTTCTCTATATTGTAGCATGTGATAGCGTGTTCTTTCTTCCAAGGCTGAATAATATTCTGCTGTATGTCTATACTATATTTTGTTCCCTCTTTCAACTCTCAATGGACAGTTCACTAAAACCTTGAACTTTTGGCTATTGTGAGTAATACTGCCAGGAACACCTATCTTCTAGGTGTGTCTTTTTGTTTTTGTATTTTTGAGACAGGGCCTCACCATGCAGCATTCAGGCTGGCCCTGGAACGCACTGGCTAGCCCAGGTTGGCCTTGAACTCAGGGCCACACTTCTGCTTCAGCATCCTGGGTGCTGGGATTGAGGGAGTGTGACAAGATGCCTGGTACAAATATGATTTCTAACAGTCTTTTGATAGTAAGTTGTATGATGCTCCTTTACCCCTAAATACTTCACTGTATATGCTTCTTTTAAAAAACAAAATTTTTTATGTAACTACAATATGCCATAAAAGTAAAAAACTGAATACTGGCAAAATACTATGTAATTATGTTGTGTAATTTATAGATCTTATTTATATTTTTCCAATTGTCTCAATAATATCTTTTATTGGAAAAAATATCCAGGATCATGGATTACAAACTTCATGTATATTCAGTCTCCTTTAGTCTTCATCTTTTCTTTGTCTTTCAGTTTTGGAGAGTGTAAAGCACTGATCTTGTAGAATGCTTTTTAGCCTGTGTATTTTATTTTTTATTTTTTATTTTATTTATTTTTTGGTACAAGGAATTCAACCCAGTGTCTGCACTCATCTATGTCCCCATCTCTCTCTTTTTTAATGCTTTCTTAAAAATTTGAGACAAGGGCTGGCGAGATAGCTCAGTGGACTAAGCGCCTGCTTAGGCAAGCACAGGGAACAGCGTTCGATCCCTGGTCCCACATGTTGCACCGGCTCTGCCTGTGGAGTGCTCTGTGCCAGTGATCGAGTCCAGCTGTGGTGGCACACGGCTGTAATCCCAGCACTGGGGAAGGCTGAAAACAGGAGGATCACTACAATCTGCGTACTGAGTCCCTGTACCAAATACACAAATGAAAAAAAAAATTGAGGCAAGGCTTGCCAAGTTGCTCAGGCTGCGCTTGAACTTGTGATCTTTTGCCTCAATTTCTAAGTGCTTGCAAAACAGGTTATATCAACATGTCTGGCTTGACTAAGATGCCTGTCACATGTGGAATGGTTGAAAAAGATGTATTTTTATACAATGGAGTATTACTCAGCTATAAAGAATGATAAACTCAAGCCTTCATATTTAAGTGGATGCCACTTGAAGATATAAGTGAAATAAACCAGACCCACATATGTAAATATCGTATTGTCTCCCTAGTATAAGAACTCAAAAGAAGAATTACATATAGAAAGGTACAACACAAATAAAAGGAAAGTAAGAACTTGAGGACTGGACAATGAGGAGGGGGCAAGGAGAAAAGCTGGGAAACATGACAGGGGCAAAGCCATGCATTTGTACGCACGAGATGAGTGGGGCAGTGATCCTGGGGGACATCAGCAGGTTTTTGAGACTAGCGGTTCGCTGGTGGGATTCTCACCCTGACTAACAGTATATGCTGGTGCCTGTGAGCCAGGCGGCTGCACAGAGGATGGCAATGTGTAATAGAGGGGTCACACTTGGAGTGCCTGCCATCCTGGTCTTCTAAATATGTACTTCTTGTCATGACATGCCAATTATTGCCATACTGTCTCTCAAGTAAAGGTTTTTTAAAAAATTTTTATTTTTTTCTTTAAAAAGGGGTAATAAATGTAAAAAAAGAACACAAGAATAACAAAAAATATGTCACAGGTTTATCCTGTTATAATTCTGTATATGGTTAGATTTCTAAATTTCTTTGTAAAAATATGTAAATGCTTATTTCTAGTTTTTTAAATTAATTTTCCCTCATATTCTGTAAGGACTTAAAGTTCAATATGTCAATATTTGATGGAAAATACCTGTTCCATGATATGCCGAAGATATTTAGTATTTAGACAGATAGGGTAAACCAAACTGCATATATTGCAGGTTAATAATAAGCTTCTCTTCTGGAGGGTTAACAACCTAAGTTAGCAGATCAAAATTGGAGAAAAGGAAGGCTGCAAGGTCAGCCAACATTTTGGCCCTAGCCTTTCAAGGTCAGTGAAGACTCAGGACATAGGAGAACCTGTACTGTAACATCACGTAATTCAGT